GCATTCAGAATGGACGATTGGATAAGGAGAAATATATTAGTTTTATATAGTATGGGAAGCATAGAACGTTTGCCCTCAAGTACATAAACATTATACTAATGTAGGTTTGTAGAAGTTTTTAATATATTATTATCATCCTCACTATCAAACATCCTTGAACTTTTTATATGCCCCATGTTGGAACCTTTTATGCCCTTTGAAGTCCATTCCTCCGTGTAGTGAATTGTAGTGTCAACTCCATGCATGACAAAAAGCACCCTAATTCATTATCGGGCGAGTGGCTCCTCTTAGGAGCAATACGGTCAACATACTCCCTTGTGAAAAAGTGTAGATCAAGTGGATTTCTTTCAAATTTTTTATGAATTATGGGATCGATCTAAGAAAAGTAATGATCCTATTAGATGCACACTTATATATACATGACTCCAAAAAATCACTATTAAATTTGACACAAATTTATAGAAAAACTAAGTCTCATATCCATGTAATAATTTTTTTTTAGAGATGTGTCAAATTTAATGGTGATCTTTTGGGTTTTTATGCACATGATTGTGGGAGGGTCTCATAAGATCATTACTCATCTAAGAATCATTGATTATTTTCAATGTGGAATCTATCTACGATTTACATTGATCATTTTGAAATAAACAGTTTTGATTTTGAGTTTATTTAAATCGTACCGTTCAAAACTTGGACAATCCTAATTTAAATTTGAGATATTTTTTTTCTTTTTTATGCAAGTAGTTTCGATGCCAAAAAAATCTTAAATCCAATCATATCAACCTTGAGATACATGGATCTAGAAAAACTAGAATTCAAGATTTGGAAATAGTGCATCTTGTAATACATTATCTAAGACTTTTTTTCTTCTTTTATGCAAGAAGTTTCAATGCCAAAAAAATCTTAAATCCGATCATGTCAACCTTGAGATACATGGATGCAAAAAAATTGGAATTCAAGATTTGGAAATAATGCATCTTGTAACACATTATTTGGACCGTCAATTTTCAAGATTTTCAAGCGTTCATTAATCTATTTGATCTACACTATTTTTAAGTTATAAAGTTTATAATTAGAGATGAAAATAAGTTTTAAAGCTATCATAAAGGTTTTCAGTACGAAAACATCTATTTACATCATTTGAAAGTGCTCAGTACGAAAACATCTATTTACATCATTTGAAAGTGGACCTTAATTTGATTGTTTAATGCTTCAACCTAACACAAACCACACCCTTTAAATTTTATCTTTTTCACAAGGCACTAGATTTAAGAGGTTATGACACCAAAATTCGAATAATACCACTTGGTTCTTATTTGATATTTGCCCTTGAGAAACTAAATATACAATAAAGTTCCAAGGGAACCATTGTCCTTTAGTATAACCGACAATATCCTGCCCAATTTACCCAAAAGCCTCCTAAGATCATTATATTTGCTACAACATAATTCTTTGGAGCCTTTCACTATGTGTGGGAATTACGCTTTAGAAAATTGCAATGTAAAATAAAAATATAGTTCCCCATGGAATCCGACAAACATCAAGATCTAGCAAAGAAATCTCGTGATTTGCCTGAAGATTTCTAGTGCCAGAAGCATTATGATTAATGGAAAATAAAGTTTAAATATTAAAAAAATGATAACAATCAAAATGATTAAATTTTTGAAAATAGATAGTCCCAATAATGTCACTACTCTTTTAAGACTAAAAAAATCTTTTTTTTTTTAGTCTATGGGTGGATATTAATTAATTGAAGGGTTTTCCAAGTCAAAACAACTTTTTTAGCGGATTTTTTAAGTGCGCCATACTTCTACAGAGTTTAGAGTTGGCACTTTGTATATAAGAAGGTAAGACTTCCTCATCGCTCAAATGAAGTGCATAAAAGAGTAGTAGTTCATTCCCAACAATCACATAAAATTATTAGCCACCTTTGAAATAGTACATGTCCATTTGTTGCATGGACGCAATTATCAAAAACATTAATCTAAAAAAATTATCATCTAGACCCGATACGTCTGTACAATATACGTACGTGTTATATATACATAAAATGAAATTTATTGGCAATTTACATTTTCATATATACATACAAAAATTTATGACATAGCAATAGAAAAACATAAAAAATAATTAAATTAAATCAATAGTCCAAAGTATATTATGGGTGCAATTTCTATAAGGTTGCAACCTTTATAATAGCATGTATTTTTGTTGTAAAAAATTCTTAGAATTATCTTAAAATTTATTTCCATATCTAATAAATTTTAAAAATAATTAAAATGAAGTAGATTTATAAATATATGAAAATTTTGAAAATAGACAGTCTAGATAATGTGTTGTAAGATGCGTTATTTTTGGGACTCAATTTTTTTTTTTTTTTTCATATTCATATATCTCAATGTCGAGAGGATCAATTAGAGGGTTTGTCAACATTAAAACAATATTTCCAATAAATTTTCGAGGTGCCTATGTGATTCTACATTTTAAGGTTGCAACCTTATATAAACTTTTTCCATATATTATTTTGTGAATCAAAATTTTATTCATCGCAAGTTTCTTATTTTGATATTTTGAGTTGCATCATAATAATATAAAAATAAACTAAAAAACTATTAACTAATTATTGTTTTTAAATATAGCACTTTTTTCGCATAGCTTTTGAATAGAGTCCTAATATATTCATTCAAAATCATATAATCAAACCACTTGCACCATCAATAAATCCATCTCTTTTTAAGACTGATTCATTAGACATGACGTTATTGATGTTATTGATGTCAATTTCAATAGGTTCATCTATATTATCTATTGATGCCCACATCCCAATACCTGTATGGGGTTAAATTTATAAGCATTTTGCTTCCGCGTGAGCAATCTTGAATTGCAATAAGCAATACAAGTCACCAAAAAAAAAAATTTGAAGTAAAACATTAGAGACGAGGATAAGTATTGCACTTTGCAAATAAAGTATTACAAACTTTAAAGAATACCAAATACAAGTATATCCATCGAAAACTTGTAAGAATCAAGGACAATGCAAATATATCTAAAGTACTATATTAAAAACTTAAACTTAAGGTAAAATGTGTAATGCTCTCAATAGGAAAAAAAATTAGCGAACTAAAATAATTTGATAGGACAAAATGAGAAGAGAAGAGGGAAAATTTCGAGATGATATGAGATAAAGATTCACATGTCCACAACTTGCAGAGGAAGAAACCTTAAAAGATTTATTGATATTTTAAAAAATCATACTTTTATTTATAAGAATAGTAACTTATATAAACCCTAACTAGGAAAATAAAATATATATTTTTTATTTTTTTAAACTATTTTTCATAATTTTTATTTTAAAATAAAATATTATTCATTGAAGAACAACATTTCTGGACAAAGAAGTGTCACACTCCAAAAAATAAAACACATCCAAAAAAAAGGATATACCACTAGACATTATTACATGTTTCTAAAAGCGTCCACATACATATCCGTGTCCATCAAGTACCGACACATGGTCAGACCCTTGGACACAAGTCCATGTTTCATAGTTAGCAAATTGCCGTATATCAATCAATTTATAGGTGGCGGTGAAAAGTGGAATGAAGTAAAACCCTACCGAGTTGTAGGCATGCCTGCCATCACCATTTGTCCATTTGAGGGGATGACAAGGATACTTCTGACAATAAGTCCCCTATGAACATATGGATGATAGAGTGAAATCCTCTAGGCATATTTGGATGGGCTATTTTTTTTCGTTCTTTCACGGCAATATAGTAGTGCACCAAACCATAAAAGATGTTTATGTGAGAGGACATCCTTTTTAGAAGATCCAATATTTTGCGTTCTCTATTCTAATCGGAACAGTATCAAATCCATACTTTCTTAACTAAAATGAGCAGATTATTTTACTTATTTAGAGAACAAGCCTTGAGAAAATCCAACTTGTTACAATTGGAATATAATTAGGTCCTACTAGATTCCGGTAGACCTAATATACGTATCTCGACTGGGGAGGAAGTCATCCTCACCCCCTTTGTTGGAAAACACGCTCTGAATTTGTAAGCTACCACCAATAAATATGGTATATAATGAGACCATTTTGGTACAAGGTGGTCATAAATAATCTTGATTATTGGGATAAGTACTTGATCTATATGATGGTTTTGATAGCTTTTAATTGTAATGCAAGCCTAATAATATTTTAATTTTTTGTTTTTGCAAACCATTGAAATACTAAGGTGCCCATGTAACGTAGACATATTCAAAAATCTGACCAGATGTTGACACTTGGTAGACACAAACACAAGTGCCAACACTTCTAAAACACATATAACACTCTTAGTCTAATGGTGCATCCCTTTTGTGGACACCAATCCTTTTTGAGATGTAGTTTTTTTTTTGTTTAAAAACGTCATTCTCCAATGAATAATATTTTATTTTATTTTAAAAATTTTAAAAAATCGTTTGAAGTAAAAATAAAAAATACTTCTATTTTCTTAGCTGGACGTTACATAAAATCATTATTCCTATAAATAAAAATATGTTTTTATTTCAAACACTAAAAAACCTTCAAAGGTTTCTCGTTCTCCGAATCCCAATTTCTCCCTCTGCATGTTGTGGGCCCACATATTTAGATTTTCATCTTACCTCTCCTGCAAAGTTTTCATGTTCCCTTCTCATTTTGCCATGTAAGATCTTTTTAATTGACTAAAAGCCAGTTTGGATGTCAAATAAAAAAACCTTCATATTGAAAAAAATTGTAAGTTTTCAACCTTAATTGAGAAAACTAATGATCTTTTTTTATTATTCTGTTGGATTGTTTGGACGGTGTGTGAAAATACAAGATTATATATATATGGAGTTTGCGTTCTACCCTTCCAACACTGTCACTATGTTGCCATTCCAAAAGGTTTTCATAGAGGGATCCCTCCCATCACGTTCTACCCTTCCAGCCTTTCTCTCTCTAAACCCTCATGTAACTTAGCTCTCTCTCTCTAACAATGGGCTCTGTTTCCCTTACGATAGGGGATGGCACTGCTAGATTCAGAGCCACCACCATCCTCAACGCCATAATGCTCTTCTCTCTCCTCCTTACCTACCTGTTAGCTCTCTACAACTTCTCCTTCCCTGCTAATCAAACCCCTTCTCTCTCTGCCGCCCACCACCAGAAGAATTTCTCTCTCATCTCTCGTCAAGTGTCTCTCTTCCTCTCTGAAATTAACTCCGCTCAGCACAAGCTGGCTCAGATGCAGAAGAAGCTCATTGGGTTTGCAACCCTATATCTCTCCGCTCCTGGTTTGCCCTCTGAGATCAAGCTTTACATGGAAGCTCAACCTTGGCCTTTAGGTAAGGACTCGAGAATGGGGATCACAGAGATGGTTTCAGCAGTTGGACATGCCTGTGTAAACTCCATTGATCTTCTCTCAGTACATGAATTATAAGCCAGGCCACCAATGCCCAGATGATCGGGATCTTGCTCAAAAGCTCATGCTTAGAAGCTGCGAGCCACTACAAAGAAGGAGATGCTTTTAGGGAACCAAGATGCTCTTGCTCAAAGTGTTGATATATTCTCAAAAGTTCTGCAGACCCACGCCGCAGCCTTAATTCCTCTTCTTCTTCATACTCTTCTTCTTCTTGATGAAGTTGTTGGTTGTGGCGAGAATTGAGAGATCGAGGGCCATGGCCATCAGGTGTAGAGAGAACGGGGTTTCGCAGAGGAAGTTTGGGGCCATGGCCATTGGGTGTAGAGAGAGAAGGATTTCACAGAGGAAGTTTGGGGCGATGGGAGAGAGGACGTTTGGGGCCATTGGGTGTAGAGAGCGAAGGGCTTCGCAAAGGAAGTTTGGGCCGATGGGAGAGAGGAAGTTTGGGGCCATGGCCATTGGGTGCAGAGAGAGAAAGGTTTCGCAGGGAGGAGAGGAAAGAGCATGAGACTTAGAGAGAGAGAGAGAGGCGTGAAACGCAACTCAAGCTAAAATAATTCAAGTCTTAAGTTGAATTTTTTTGGATGACATTTTTTACCTTAGTACTAGATTTTTTTTTCTTTCAATCTAAAAATCTGGCAAAAGTGTGCAGATGTCCAAACGGTCAAAATCCATTTCAAAAGATTTTTGGATTGCAATCCAAAAATATTCCAATTTTAGGTACATCCAAACCGGCCCTAAATCTTTTGCCATTGACAACATGACATTCAACCTCAATTTTTAAACCTAGTACCTTAAATTATTTTACTTGCATTATCCTAGCATTTGAGTTTTACATATTTTGGATGTTCGTACTTGTATTTGATTGTCTTTGTAGTTTATAGTACTTTTGCTTATGCGCATTGTAATCATACAGCTTTAATAAAAGTGGGCTATGGATCCCTTGTTGTGCTTGTGTGGGTGGTGTGTGTGTGCGCTAGTACTCGGTGCGCATAGGAAAGGCTGAACTTGATCCTTAGCAGTCTAGCTAAAAATTAAGGGCACACGATGCTAAGCAAACATTTGACCCCATAACGGTTGGTATCAGAGCCTTAGGCTGATACCAACTTCTCTTAATCCAAGGATCACACCTCCCTTTCACATAGGAGTATAGTGTTAAAACTTGGAGCACTGGGAGTAGACGCTAATAGCCTCAAAGTAGCATAGGTGCACTAGGTGCGTGAGGCTAGGTGGTGCATGATGCTGGTTGGGTGGTGCATCTTGCTGCTCGAGTGTTGTGTCAAGGGGGTTTGACTCAAAAAGGTAGCTATGAAAGCACTCTAGCCATACTCAGCTCGTAACTCAAAAAGGTAGCTATGAAAGCACTCTAGCCAAGTGCCGTTCCTCGACTCGTGCTGAACAGCACATTACATATAAGCATGGGCATGAGACTACGAGGAACAAATTATCCCAACTCAATCAGAGATTGTGGCAAAGAGCACGGTCTATGCTTTTAAATCCTCGAGCGCCATTCTGAGAGGGCTTCCCGAGGAGACCAAGCTATGGAGCAGTTGGAGGAGATATGGTTTCTTGCAATGTCGTTAAGAAAAGCAAGAAGACAACCAATAACCTGGTCATAAGCCATATTGCGAAAGTCAACACCCACCATCAGCGCGCACGGCCCTGAGCTGCACAAACAAATCGCCAAAAGTTTGTAGCTTCCATGCATTTGCCAGAATAAAGGGCAATGGGTCCCTCCTCTCCAGTCGAGGACATTAGCCCAGAGCCCAGCGCCTCATCTCCAGTTATCACTAATCCTTTGTAGAGCCTAGAGATGGCCCTCAATCGACTTCATAACTTGTTGGAGGTGCTCGTGTATTAGCACCAGGTCTCTGATGTCTAAAGCAAATGCTGTTCAGACCTACCTTAGCAGGATGAACATGAAAACTACCCTGAATTTGGTTGTTGGCAATCCCACAACATTCCGGGAACTCCTGGAAAGGGTTGTGGTCATCATAGAAGGGCTCCTTTGCTACTTTTGCCTATAAAGTGCAGTACTCTAAGTTTTAGTAGTAATTTTTTTATAGCTTGTATTTGTTCATAGCAATCTAAGATGGTTTATGAAGAGGCAAAATTCGTATAAATGCAATCCATACGGATATTCTTATGTAAATAAAGACAATATAGATGGACCTACTGAAATTGACATCGAGAACATGATATTTGAACCAATCTTAGAAAAGATAAATCTATTGAGGGTACCAATGATAATTATCATATGACTTTGGATGAATACTTAAGGACCATGTTCAATAGTTATATAAAAATAGTACTATATTTTGAATAATAATTAGCTAATAGTTTTTAGCAAACGTTATTGTGATGCAACCTTGGATTTAACTATAAGAAACTTTTGATGAATAAAATTTTGATTCATGAAGTAATATATTTTATACTATTAACTTAATTTAATTTTTTTAGGCTTTACTATTGTTATGACATACGAATTGTTGTACATGTAAATATAGATGTGAACTACAAATAAATCTCAATATATATATATATATATATATATATATAGATGCAAATGTATATATGTAAGCACCCGTACATTAAACGAATGTGTTATCTAGATGACATTTTTTTGAGGTCAGGGTTTCTGGAACTCATATCTATGTCACAAGTAGACACATCTGTTTCTATGTAACATAGCAGGGTGCACACTTTTTAGGCATGCACCTTTGGAAAATATTTGATGAAACCAATCATAATACCCTCTACAAGGTACATAGTTATTATGAAGATTGGGGCCAATAATTTTCACGCGTATTAACAGTTTCAAAGAAAAATAATTTCCATGTGTTTCACCCTTCTAACTACATGGTTGTGCACTTGTGCTACATATGATTTGGTTTTTTAAGCGTTTACCTCTTTTTTCTTCCTTTTTTCCCCCCTTATGTCTAATTTATCACCACTTTGGATCTTTAAGATCCAAGATCATAAAGTGATTTTATGACTTTGTATCTTGAAGATTCGAAATGAGGCCCCCATATAGCCCTTCATGCCTCTTATCTTTTTTGTTTTGTCAATTTTCCAACTTAGAATTTTTGAGATCCAAAATCACCTATCTTCGGATCTTGAAGATCATAAGTTAATATATGATTTTAGATCTTGAAGATTCTATGTCATGAATATGGGACATGACTTCGGATCCAAGTGACTTTGGATCGGTGGCAAAATGGGGCATACCTTTAGATCCTCAATATCCGAAGACATAAAATGGTTTAATAATATGTATATTGAATATCCAAGTAGTGGCAATTTTGGGGAAAAAACCCAAAGAAAAAAGGGTGCATGCAAAAAAAATAGAAACCAGGGGGATTTCTTAATAAGGGCAATTGCAGGGATATATGTGGAAATTTCTCTTCATTTTTAATCTTAAATTGCTAAAAGAACAATAACTGTTACTACTGCACGATTCCATGTATACCAAAGTATAATAAATATTACTTAGTGGATTCTAACATGAAGTATTGTCCAGAAACAATAAAAAATACAGGGGAAATATTATTATAAATTCAAGTGCGGCTATAATGCCACCACCGTTGATGGAAAAAAATGGCTGTTTTTTTTGGTTGTATTAAAATTTTGATACAAGTTATAAGGAAACTGAACTTACATGTTGACTTGCATAAAAAGTGGAGACCATTCCTTGTCAATGGAGTGCGATAGACATTGCAAAGGATAAGACCAACCATCCAATAAAAAAGTATCCCACCAGCTTTGTTGGTCCTGTATCTTCGGGTTCCTGCAAGCACCAGATTTTCCTCAGTGCAAGATTACAGATAACATTATCAAGCAGTCACAAACACAAACACATATTACCTGATAACATGCAGTACAGACAGCTAGAGAGAGAGAGATTTCTGGTAAACCTTCAATGTAACCAGAGTGCTCACAGAGATTAAACAAAAAGGCATACATCATAAGGGAAAGCAGCATAAATATCCAGTTCATAGGACACATTAAGGGTGGAGAGAGAGAGAGAAAAGAAGAAACAGAGAGAGATAGATCTTCAACATAAGTAACCTTCATTTAGTAAACCTTCGATGTAAGCAGATGGTGCTGACAAAGATAAAAAAGGCATATTCTATAAAGAAAAGCAGCATAAAAAACTAACAGCTATTAGAACACATAAGGTGTGTGTGTGTGCGTGAGTGAGTGAGAGAAAGATAGAGAGTCATCAGTGCTGTTACTTTTTTAGTAAACAGTGAGAAGCGAGCGCGGCCAACAAAAAAAGGCATAGTCCATAAAGGAAATCATCATCGTAAGTGACCTTTCTTTTTGGTAAATATTCAACATAACAGGAGAGAGCTAACAGAGAAAAAAAAAAGCATGATTCATAAAGGGAAAGCAGCATAACTCACAATTCTAATGCATAAAATAATGAAAAAGGGAACTAAATCTTGTGAAGGCAACTATATGCTGAAGCTGCAGTCATGGAATATACGATCAGCAAAGAACAAAGAAGGCAGCAATAAATTGTACTCCTGGGCTTAGTGAAAGGTAACATCAAATAGGTAGGGGATATTTGGGATGTAATGGAATGCAAAACACGAGTACCGGGAGTCTAAGTGATGTTAATTGGATTATAAGTCTGCAACAAGATTCTAGTGTTTGCATATGCAAAAAGCAGCATCAACGACTAGTGACCAATAAAACTTACCCTGGTTATAATATGAATATTCACTCTAAATGCACAGCCTATGAAAGCTTACATGGAAAAATGAGGTCTAGAGAGAGAAAAATGAGTGCATAACAGTACAAGATGAGGCTTAACTCTTTTGTCTCTCTGAAGCCTTCAATGGGTAGGGTGCTAAACAGAGGCAAAGAAGAATGCTAGCACATTGACAAAGTAGGACTGGGAAACATGTTGAGACTGTACATTCCAAAAAACGCAAGGGGGTGTATAGATAGACTAATGAAATACAAACAATTGGTAGGAAAAATCTGGTGAGATTTTTTTTCTTTTTGAGGGTTACGAAATACAGTAGGATAAAGATAGTATAATATAAACACCCTGAAGAAGAAAGAGAGGAAGGGAGTCAAGTACCCCACATGCCAAGGAAAAGAGAGGACAAATTCTTACGACAAAATGTCCATGCACTCCCACAATGAGGGGATAATCCACACCTAACAAAGATGGACAATAAATAAATAAATGAGAGAGAGAGAGAGGGGGGGGGGAGGAGGGAAAAATGAAAAAGAATACAAGAATTAGGGTGGGAACCATTTATTTTCAGTTACGCTCAATTAATGTAATGAGGATATGAAACATAGTTCAGGTAAAAGCAGAATGAAAAGTATGGTGCTTAAAGGCCCTACCTTCAACCAATAAGATTCTCGTCAGCATCCAATTCTTGTCCAAAAAATAAAAAGTGAATTGGAAAATTCCAATATCTCTGACACAACGATTGTATGTGGCTTTTCTTAATTGATGGTGTAAAAATAGATAAGAGAACATATGCAATTTGATTGTCTTGCTATACTTAATGTACATTAACACGAGCGTTGGTGCCTAACAGGGTCAACGGTGTCTCGTATTTGATCTAAAAACATGATACAGTTAAACATAATGTTTTTAAGTTTTTTAGTACATAATATAATTTTCCATTCTATACTGCAAAACAAGTAATGGATGGGGAAGTGGTAAAGTTAAGAGTACGGTATATGCCAAAATGTCTTAAGGTCGAACCTTGCACCAAGCACCTCCACAATATTTAGTTGCTATATACATAGCCAGGTTTTGTTAAGTGTTGGAGGTAACTAAGCAAATGAACTGCACTGACAACTAAAAAAATGACTAACGTACTAGAACAACAATCAGCCTATAACCAACTTATGGAAACCACAATTAACAAATCCCACAGTACACAACACAACTGTAAAAAATAGAAGTATAGCCTTCTGGTGCCATAGAACCATACATGATTTCATAGTTAAAAAATTACAGTTGATTTCATATCAGAAAACTGCTCAAAGATGTTCCCCCTGGCCTCAAAAGAAACAAATGATGCTTAGGAAAACAAGCCTACAGCGATAGGGGATATACAGTGTATGACTGCCCTGAATTGTCATAGACAATTATAATACCTAATATATTGATTTTGAAAAAATAATCATTCTGCATGACTGTTTTTGTGGATTATATATCATACTGAAAAAATGCAAGGTCCAGTGAATTAATCTGATTAAGTGAATTGGACAGTGCAAACAGGGAAGGCAGAAATAAGATGCTTCTTGTATTGGAAAACACATGGCCCACACCAACCTTCTTTTTCAATGGAGAGATTCAAAGCATAAAGTAATGCAAGCATGTGTTTCATTAACTAAGACATGGATCTCATGAGAAATGGCATGTAGCACTATGACATGAATCTCATGATAAATGCCCTCTAGCGACCTTACCTTTGGTGGTGGAGGAATGTTGGAGGCTTGGGTTATGTCAACCTCAAAAGGCCAGACATATCGACCTGGGTTTTCACTCCTTGCCAAACTCCAATCATACAACCTCCTTTCTTCTTCAGATGATAGAATTGCATAAGACTCCTGAAAATGTAACGAACATTTGAATGCCTATCATCATGTATCCAACTAGTTACTACATTAAAACCTTTTTCTTCAGGAGCATTCTCCTTTTCTTTTTCTTTTTCTTTTTTTTTCTTTTTTTTTCTTTTTGTCCTTTTTTACTTTTTGTAGTTAACCTTAGACTACAATAATCCCAAATCTTATGAAACTTAAATATCCAAGAGGAAGACAGTACAAAAAGAGTACATAGAGAGTTTAACCTTCAATAGTTCCAACTCTTTATCTGTTTCCTCTTCATCCAATCCTTGACTCCTTAGATCTTCACATTTCTCTTTGTATGCAACAGTGACCTGATTAATGCATGCGCTCATTTCAGATTTACCTGATAGATTTCGTAAACTGAATCCACAAATGTCATGCTTATTCAAGAAGAGAAAATACAAAATGAAGATTATAGTGGATCAAACAATCAAGCGTTGCCACAAAGATTGGCTAAACCACAATAATCTATATAGCATTACTGCTAACAGTTTGAACTGTAAGGGGAACAAACAATTAATGTCAAATCAAAAAAGGTCTTAGACAATGTGAAAAAAAACTTGCCTTAGGAATTGAACTTATCCCCTGCCCAAGCCATGTAACTTGGACAAGTCATTTACAAGCCAAAAAGGGTTCAAATTTTGAAAAATAATGCAACAAAATTGTTAAAAATAAAAAAATAAGTAAAAAACAAAGCACGTGATAGAAAACTAAAGCACATGATAGGAAAAACTCACAGATCATCACCAAAAATATCAAAGTTATATATACATATATTTCTACATTGATTTGGGGCACACACACACACACACATACACAAACACACCAAAGATATAATATTATATATATATATATAGTAATGATACTATGAGACCCTCCCACACCCATGTGAGTAAGACCCCAAAGGATCACCATTAAATTTTGACACTGATCTCTAAAAAAGTTATCAATAAACCCATTCACCCAAGTCCTACACCCATCTCATAACTTTTCTAG